AAGCAAAAGAGAACAGAGACATACCTAATGGATAACTAGGACCACCTCGTGGAACAAAAGTGTAGAATTCTCAAAATCACTGGAGGGATGAGGTAAAAACCTTTGAGCCCTCTCCCGTGATGCGTGTACTCCCCTAACATGTCTCTTAAATTGGAGCAAATATGGGGGGGGGGCGAACCTAATATTGAAGCAGTGTTAGCGATCATGAGGAACTGTCATCCTCAAAGTAATCATTGTGGCAAAAAAAATTGAATTTAACACAAGGAAGAAGCTGAAAGGTCATCCTCGTGACCTAGAGCTAGGGGCAACTGATAATAATTGGTTTAAGTTTGAACCCCTTTAGAGCCCAAGACCCTCTAGGCTTCCAGAAAGCGGTCTAAGAAGCTTACCCAAAATGAACTCTTATGAGGAGGAATTGGGCCACAAACTGGTAGCAGAAAAGCTCAGAGTAACAACCTCGACACAATAACAAGCTCATAACTCAAGAGCCCGACACAGGGCTAGTCTACAAAAGCTGTAGCATGACCCATGGATAGGGGACAAGTGAACATTACCTGATGTCTCTGATGAACAAAAACCCCTAGGTACTGGAGACGAATCAAGTACTACAGTCAGTGAATAGTGGGTAAAGAAAGGCTTTGGGAACTACAACTCTAGGACAAAGACAAACACAGAAGAGACCACAAAATCAGCCAAAAAGGACAAACACGAAACACTAACTACCACTTATATAAATAGCTAGTGGGACTATAGTGCAAGAGAGGGCCATTATGTAAGCCATTAAGTAAAACTTAGGCAATATCCTTTAAAGACTTCAAGCCAAACACTATGTAATAGAAATCTTCTTCCCCAAGCAATATAGACCCCAAGGAGCAAGAGTCTCCCTTATAGTGAGCGTAACCTTAGTCCTTAGGCTAAGGTGAACCTCTAGGATTTTGTATTCTCTAGCATGCACCTTCATATTCACGTTCATCCAAATACACACACTCATTCAACTACACCCAAGTCTGTTCTTAGAGTATTAATTGAAAATGTCTTCACACGGGAAATATGTATAAGCAAGTATGTTTTTGACTTGTTGGCCGCATTAGCATGTGAATCGTGAAGACACTCTAGTTAAATACATAATATAGTAAAGATAAATTAAACTGAAATCCCTTCTAGTTTTTGAACTGATTTTGCAATCTTCTAATTCCACCCTTACTCCAGCCAAACACTATTAATCCTATTCCCAAAATAGACCAATTTATCTTCCAAATATCCCACTTCATCTTAGTTCTTTTTTTTTATCAGAAATTTTATTAGTTCCAAACAGCTCGTCTGCATGACATCAAACCTAACAAAATGAATTTTATTGGATTTCATTTTCTAAATAAATCAATTAAATTGCATTTAGCAAATGACACCTTATTTATAAGCATGTTATATATGTGTGAATATATTTATTTTTAACAGATGTGTGAATCTTATTAAATTTCATCTTTTTATATGAGAATATTATAAAATGGTAGGATGGTGAGACACTCTGCTTTTTTTTTATTAACATTTTCTCTTTTTGTGAAATTATTTTGAAAAAGCTAATGAATATAAAGGGTAAAGTGGGTATCTAAAATAAAATATAGGATGACATAAGTCACTTCCATTGATGGCATGGACAATTGACTAACAGATGAGGCGTGTTACTAATTTTCACATCTTAAGGGATATGAGCGTAGTTTTAGTAATAATAAGGGTGTCAGAGAAATAGTCAAAAATTAAAAGGGATTTCATTGTAATTTAGCTTTTGGTAACCTACACTACACAATGGATATAGCTTTATTGCATTTAACAATGAGATGGGGTCTAATCTTTGTACTGCAGCTAGCATCTACTGAAATTTAGCTGTCTCTGTGTCGGTTTAAAAGAAGTTTGTAAAAATGTCACTTAAAAATGACATTTTTTAATCTTTGTTTGTGCTTATTTTAATCTTTGTTTGTGTTTTTTAAACACGTAATTTGAAATGACATTTTTTGTGTTGAAAACGTAATTTATAATGAAGTTTTTCAAGAGGGATAGAATTTAGGAAACAAGTACGCAATTGGCAGGTTTTGGGAATAAAGTTGCCCACAGGCATAGGTTTGGTGAATAGCTTGTTGTTTTCAAGTTGGGAATGGAGACATTTAAAAAAAATAAGCAATGAACCTCTGTAGAATATCACTCATGTAGAACAAGTATATATACTATACATAGAGTAAGGTTTACAACCTGAAGCCAATTGTAATCTTCAGCTGTCAGCCTAGGATCTTCATAAGTAACAAACAAAAGGAAGAGATTAAGTTCAGCTAGATTTGTTATAGTTAACCTGATCACTTGGCTGATTCTTTGGGGATTTGAATTATTTTCATCCACTTCAGCTGTAGCTTCCTTTTGAATACTAATAGAACTCTTATCTTTGTGAACATGCCATTGCCTACCCTCTACTCTAGTCGTAGCTTCCATCTACTCTAATACCCCCCTCAAGTTAATGTAGGATAAGGATAACACACCCAACTTGCTTTGAAGAGAAAATAATAACTTAGGTGGCAGTGCTTTAGTGTAAATATCACTAAGGTAATACATTGAACAAACATATTGTGTTTCTCTAGAACAAAAAGATAATTCAATTTAATGTGTTTCATTTGAGCATGGAAAACAAAACCAATGGATAGATGAAGAGCACTTGGATTATCATGAAACAACGTAGTTGGAAAAGGGAGATCAATGCCCAGTGCATGAAGAACATAAGTGATCCAAGTAATTTCGACAATGGTGATAGCGAATGCGTGGTACTCTACTTCGGTGCTCAAGTGAGCAACAGTTGATTGCTCCTTTACACCCCAATATGATATATGAGTGCTAAGAAATATGACATATCCATATGTGGAACATCTGGTAAAAAAGCAACCACCTACCCAATCAGCATTAGAGAATTAGACTTAAAGAGCATTTTTCTTAAGAAAATAAAGACCAAAATGAGAAGTGATTTGAAGTTAACAAAGAATTCTCTTGACTATGGAATATGTGTAATAGTACATTGGGTCCCAAGATTAACTAAATACATAAGATCATGATTAAAGAGGTCCAAGATCCAAGTAAAGCTGTCTAGACTGAAGAGGAATATCAGCAATAGAAGCTAAAGTTGAACTGGTGGAAGTTGAGTCAAAGCGGTAGGAAAAATGGTGGATGATTTATCACAATGAGATTCTAGTGAGTGAACCTCAGGAAAAAATGATCCCCCATGTCAATGTTATTTTTTGGTGTGTTTGTGTTATGCTGAATGTGTTGAGGAGAAAGTGATGTAGCCTGATTTCACACTACTGATGAGAGATTCAGGATTGCCCTAGTGCTTCCCTAGTAATGGAGAACATGAGAGCAAATGGTGTCTCACTTGAGGACGGACAAGATTGTTAAGGGTAAGTATCAACCCGTTGTCAAAAGAAGTTGAAATTAATATTATGATCCCCTCTAGAAGAAGAAGTATCAACAAGAGTAGCAAAAGTAAAACTCAATTCATTAAAGACAACATGTCTAGAAATGTGTATTTTCCCACTTTGTGATTGTAGATAATGATTCCCTTTGTGGAATGAAATTTAACCAATAAGAATACATTGTATCTTTGTTTGTGAAAATTTGTTCTTTCCATGCTCCTTTAGATATGAATAGGACCTGCAACCAAACGCTCTCAAAGAAGTATTATCATGGTCTTTATGAAAAAGAATTTTAAATGGTGCTTCCACGTTGAGGGAGATTAAAGGCAATCGGCTGATAAAAAAAGACGCAATAGAGAATGCTTTAATGCATATTTGTTTCTTTAAACTAGAGTGAAACAACATTGTCATTCCCAGTTGACAAATGTTTCAATTTTGGTGTTCGATAACACCATTTTGCTCAGATGTTGATGCACAAGAGATGTGATGAGTAATTCCATGAGTCTATAACTATAGCAAGAAATTGCTATCCCGGAATTCACCTCCACCAACACACTGGAAGAATTTTTTTTTCTACCCAAATTATGTTTATACCAATGCCACAAAATGCTTGAAACAATTGAAAAAATCAGTTAAGTATGTAATCATCATTAAAAAGAGCATATTATCTAAAATTTTACATCGAAGAATTAACAAGTGCTGACCCCTATAAGTCGCAGTGAACTTTGTCAAATGGTGAAGGAGATCTAATAATAACATTGACAAGTGGATGTTTACAATTTTTTTCAATTAGATACCTCTCACAAATAAATACTTTATTATTCTAAGGAGTAACATCAATTTTATTCTTTCTAGAGTAAGAAGTCAATTTCTTTATTTTGGGTGTCCAAGCCGTAGATGGTGAACTTTTTCAGAGGTTTTCTTTCGTTGAACTAAAAAAGGGCTTTCTGATAGCTACCCCAGGCATACAGTCCACCTGCTTTAGTTCTGTTTGCCATCGTCTTCCCTGTCAACTTCTCCTTGATGACAAAACCATTTGAAAGGAATTCAAAATTTTAAGGAGTGTTATTTGGATGTGTCCAATAGGCAGCAAATTCTTTGTGAGAGTCGCTGGAGAAAGGGAAAATATGTACTACACTTCAATAATGGAAATTATTAGATCTCAAGTCCTTGATAACAATGAGTCAATCAAGGTGGATAGGAGTATGTCAAACCCATATTTTAAATTATGATTTTTTTCATTTCATTAAAAATTTAGTATTCCTCCAAAAGTTCACAGGGATATTTGAATTGAGATTAAATGCTAGGTGTTATTGAAATTCTTTTAAGTTCAGGCATTGATTTTGTTTCCCTATTCAAAAGTAAGCCTTCTTCTCTCTCAAAGCTGTCCTAGTCTAAAACAAATAACAGTTACATACGAAGTAATAATACAAAAATATTGAAGGTGAATGAATACTTTTAAGTTAACTGAAAATTTGGACAATATTTTACAGGAAACATATTCTCTTACTTTTTTATACATATTGTTATAATTCTAGTTTCACTCATTTTGTGATGGCTAATTTTGTGGATGGTCCAGATACATGTGGTCACCAAAGAAATGATATTTGTCGGTATGATGTTATTGAAATACCTTCCACTTTCGATAGTGGATACTCTGATGGCTTTGCTCACAACGCTGAGATTTGGCAACTTATCAAAGTTTGGAATAAATAAGCCTCCGAAAGGCCCTTTCACTACTAAAGTCATTAGTGGAAGAAGTCCTGTTATTGATGTCGGAACTATTAAAAAAATCCAGGCAGGAGAAATAAAGGTAAATTAGTTTTTCCATGCATTTGGTGGCAAAGTGTTGATTGATCTATGCCAAAAAATAAAATGTTTGGTTTTAATTAAGGTAATGCGTGCATCATTTAAGTCATATCCAACCCATTGTAGCAAAAAAAGGTGAGAATGTTTTATGATATAAATGGCCAATGTTTAAATACTTTGAAAAGAGTTTGAATTTATTGATGAAATTGTCCTATTAAATGTTTTTCTATACTTTGCAATAGTTAAAGAATTCGGCTACATTCTGAACAATGTCTAGCTAAGTTAAACCTCTCCAAGAAAATCTTCATTCCCTCAATTCTTAGGTTTATCCAGCCATACGTGGCATTAACAAAAATAGTGTACTCTTTAACAATGGGGATTCACGAAGTTTCGACGTAATAGTGTTAGCAACCGGCTACAAAAGCTTAGCTACGTATATTTTTTAAAGCTAACTCATGGATATTTTTTGTTTACCCAACCCAAAAAAAATGGTTTTGTTACTTAAGTATACTACTAGTGTTATCATTTTATCTACAGGACTACAAATATGTTCTTAATGGAGAAGGAATGCCAAAAAAATAGGTTTCCAACTCACTGGAAATGTGAGAATGGGGTATACTGTGCTGGCTTGTCAAAAATGGGGTTGGCTGGTGTGTCGATGGATGCTAAGGCCATCGCGAATGACATTAATATCGTCGTACGGGGAAGTAAAGAGAAGATCGAATAATGGTTCCTATTTTGATAAACTTGAATTATTTGTAATTATGAATATGGTCCTACAATTTTCCTATGTAAGAGTGTTTGCTTCGTCTTGAAGCTGGTTGAATGCTTAACCTAGACATGATTGCATTTCTATTATCAAGTAACTTAATCAAAATATTGTTGTTCTAAAAACCACTAAAGAGTGCTCAAGTAAGGTTATTTAAATGATATAGTGGGTCTTTCTTGTTATTTATATTTCAATAGTTGGCCTATTATAGAATGTCATCTGAAACTATTCTTGGGACTATTATTTTATCTTACTAAATCTAGAAGTCAAAAAAGTTATAAATTCTCTAGTCCTTCTTGGAAAATAAATTTTCCATTTTTAGCTAAATATTGTTAATATATGTGCAATACTAGCATTTAAGGCATCCACTATAGGAACAAAAACACACATACATGCACACTCATGCACGTGCACACACAGACACACATACAGAAGGTTCCTTAATGGTATCTATACTAAACCTGCCCGGTGATAGCACACCTCACTTGATTGATCAAGAAAATTTGCAAATTCTCAAATAGGAATTAGTCATTTCAAGAGGTTCCTTTTGTTATCCATGCACTACTTATCCTAAAAAAGACTCAGAGCTTTATCAATGGATCCTTTTTGTATTTATTCCCCTCTTTTGCTAGGTGTTATCTTTGTTGAGCAGGTTTGTTGAAGCCTATAAACCTTCTATAACTCCTATGTAAACTCTTAATATTCATTGTGGTTGTGAGTAAACATACAAAGCATTTACAAGCTCCAACAAAATGCTCAAAGGATGTTGTAAACTAAGTTAAAATGTTATGCATCGACGACTATACAAATGATAATTGAGTTCTTAAACAAAGCCAAAAATTCATAACGGTCCTAATATACTTGTACTTTATTTTATTGGAGAGACCAATAGAGCATTTTAGTTAAACCAAGAAGTCATCAGGGCAGGGAGGGCCCGATAATGTAGAACTTTGTGTGTGTGTGTGTGTGTGTATTCACAAAGAACAAGAGGGACATGACATTGGTCTAGGGAATGCAATCTATGATTATTTTTTTTTGTTTATTAACAAGTTAGAAAATATTTGTAATTTAGTAATTTGCATGCTTGTGAATGATCAAAACAAGCAAAAGTTGTTATCAATTAACAAAAATTATATGAGAGCTTACAAAAAGTAACAAAATTATAGTAAGAGATCATACTAACATAATTAAATTTTGGATGAATAAGAAAGATTTCAAGATGGTGACATAGTAAAATTATAATCAAGTACAAATTTGTATCAAAGATGTCTTTTTCAAGAGAGAAGAAGAATTGAACTAGAACATAAATCAAAAAGTATAGTTAATCAAAAAGTATAGTTACAATAAGACCTTTCACTTAATATGTTTATAGTGAATTCTTGGGTTTTATAACCTATCACACTGCATTTTTCATTTTCAAGTAGTAAGAAGATCTTAGTCAGTTATTCCTTATTATGGCTTTGTGTGGGACCAGGATTTTTTTTAGCGCTAAATTGTTTCACTCTTTTTAGCCTCCTTTTTTTTTGGTTTTGATTTTTTTTTGGATTTTTTTTTTGGGTGGTGGGGGGTGGGGGTGGGGGTTCTATTTTCTTGTTTGATACTATAGTCCAAACAATTTGTTTGTTTGAAAGGAAAAATGAATTTCATTGACAAAAAAGAGAAATTTACAAGTAAAGTGCTTAATACTTTTTTTCAAAAGGTAAATCAAAATATCATTTAGAAAAATAGATGTACATCCCAAATGCGGCTCTACATATGGACAAAGTTTTGCAATGGAAAAACATAAAATATGTAAATTTTTGAAGGGTACATTGCCAATACGACCACCCTATACATATTTTCTATGACAAAAAAGGTGGAAAGTAGTCATACAATGTTAGCAATAATACTAGTACCTCTCTAGCCATACAATGTTAGCAATAGTACTAGTTTCTCTAACAGGAGAACACAACAAATAGAAGAACACATTCAAAACTAGTTACCCGTAATGATCAAGCATAGTTCAGGAAGTTGCCACAACTAAATGAGTGAGAGGTTACTAATAACCCACTCACACTTCAAAGATGAAATTCTATCTCTGATGATTTGAGCAATTGATAGAAGGACTTCCTTAGTGGATGAGTGGTAAAGAGATTGACACATTACATGATAATTAGGAGGCTTTAAAATGAAGGAAATTAAGGAGGTAGCGGTACTTGGTATCATAGGTACCAGTATCTAAGCCTACTGAAATTTTTAATAAAATTTTGAAATTTGAAAAATAACTTGAGGCAAGTTAAAATAAAAATATTTTGAACTTGAACCGGGACGAAATTTAATCGTTTCGAGGTGAAAACGGACCTGGGAAAATAGGGTCGTGTGGCGAGTTGTGATCCAAGTGTTTTGAGGGTATAAAAAGGGGAGAAATATCAGATTTTTCTCCATTCTTCAACCGATTTCAATGTGAGAGAGGAAGAGAGTGAAAAAGAGGGAGCTCTCCACTTCTCTCTATGATATATGGATCTTGGGTGCTCGAATCCACTCAGACCAAGAAGGAAAGTTATTCCTCACGTCGAGGGCTACACCTGCGTACCAAAAATGAAGGCTTTCACCGACGGTAGAAAGACGAGATTTTGGGGGAGCTTGGATTAGAGCTCGGGCTAAGTTCTTGGAGTTTTCCAACGTGTTTTTACACTTCAAGGGGTAGGGTTCCTTCCTACTTAGGTTCATTTTCTAACCTAGGGTGCCATATGTTATGGGTAGGTTGATGGAACTTTATATCATTTGCCTATGGTTGTAAAGTTTATGCAATTGGGCAATTGAAATGGATAAAATATATTCCTAACTTGGAATTGATATGTGGAAATTAATTGTGAAATTCCATGGAAATTGGTATTTGTGGGCATGCTATATGTTTAAATTATGTCTTGGTGAATGAAGTATGTTATTGGCATATATTATGTGATAACATGCTTGTGAATGGTTGTTAGATATGAAATGTTGATATATGTTTATTGATATATTAACATTGTGATGAAGTTTGGTGATTATATACATATGATATAATTGGCCATGGAACATGTATATATATGTGGTTAAATTTGCCCATATGACATTCATTACATATGAGACATGACAGTGATATTGCAATGATGCATTACATTGTATTTGCACAGAAGCATCACAACCATGGGCATGAGACATGGGTGTAGATATGAGTGTGTACATAGTTTAATCAAACACCATACATAGTGGTTGATAGATGGGCTTGGGAAAGTTGGATTGAAAATTTGACTGAGTCGCATGGTTGCATGAAAAACTTATGTCGGGTTTAGCAAGTAGGGCTAGACTCTCCCTCAGGTGCAAAACTCGGCTACCTGGTTTAGACACTCCCCTGAGGTGAAATTCCAGAAAAGTGGCACGGTGTGCGGAACCGGTGGTACGACTCCGAGAACTTCGCTACCCAACAAAGACACAAAGATTTTGTCTTATAAAATACCTGGTTCGTACACTCTCCTGAGGTGAAATTTTGAAAAAGTGTACTTATTTTATAAAATTGTCATTCGATATGTAACATCAATGGCGGGTTTTTCATACATTGGCATTGCATTGTGTGGTAGGAGCCGATGAAGACTCAGGGTAAAGTGCATGAGTGAGTCTCATCTCATTTCATGGCATGACATGGTAGAATTCCAACATTGAATTGTGTATTCTTGTGTTGGAATGATTGTTTCCGTGTTGAATGTTATATGTGCGAATTTCATATGCATCAAGGTTGGGGGAGTAGCCTCTAACGTGTGTGTAGATGGCAAGTAGAGGAAGAGGACGTCAAGGCGGTGGGCGAAACAATAACCAACCATCACCGACCTTTGTCCAACAAGCCGTTATAGAGGCTATGGGTACGATTGCTATTAACCTAGCACAAGCAAGCACCAACACAAGCCAAGAGGCTCAAGCCATCCAAAGGAGTTTAAGTTCCATAAGCCACCAACGCTCATGGATAAAACAGAGGACATGCAGCCCACAGGGATCACAAGGGCAGGGCCAAGCCTATCCAGGCCAAGCCCAAAGTCATTTGTCCCAAGGAGCGAAAAAATTCAAGGGGACATTTCAAGGAGGTCTAAAGACATGTTTCTATTGTCAACAACCGGGTCATGTGAGGAAGTATTGTCCCTTGAGGTAAAGCTCACGAAGTTCTGAGACGTCTCAATCTCAGTCATCAGTGGGACTCACTCAAGCACAAGTTGTTCCTCCCTGCCCTATTAGGGACCAGGGAGATTTGCTCCAACTATAGGGTACTGCACAATCACTTAGTACTTCATGTACGGGTACTCTACAACCAGGCGGGATGAGCCAGGATGTGGACCAAGGCTAAGGCAAAGGTTAATCCTCCCAAGGCAGGAGACACTTTTGGGCTTCCAGCTAGGCAGGGCCACAAGCATGTTTCTATTGCCATCAACCGAGTCACAGGAAGCGGTAATGCCCTTAGAGGCAAGGATCCTAGAGTTACGGGGTGTCTCAATCCCAATCATCGGTGGGACATACACAGACGTATTTCGTTCCTCACTACCCCATCATGGGCCATGGAAGTCAGTATTAGTTTCAGGATGCTGTACAGGCCCCTACTACTTCAAGTGCAGGGATCTTGCAGTCAGGCCAAATAGGCTAAGGCATGTGTGAAGGCCGAGGACAAGGCTTACAAGCCGGAACTTCGGAGACCCAGGAGCGTGTCTGCGCCATCACACCACAAAATGAGCCGATGGATCAATCGCTAACTCATGGTACATTTCTTACTTCCCTATTTATAAGCACATGTGTTATATGATTCGGGCATGTCAAATACCGTTATTTTCATGTTTCATTGATGAAATAGATTTAGAAATTGCAGCCCTAAAGGAGTCCTTATGGAAAATGTCAACCTTAGGAGCTAAGGTTTTCATTAATTAAATATGTCGGGGTTGTGAGTTAGAGATCTCAGG